CAGCACCCCTCCCCAGCACCCCTCCCCAGCGCCCCTCCCCAGCACCCCTCCCCAGCGCCCCTCCCCAGCGCCCCTCCCCAGCGCCCCTCCCCAGCGCCCCTCCCCAGCGCCCCTCCCCAGCACCCCTCCCCAGTGTCTCACCTCAGCATCCCTCCTCAGCGCCCTTCCCCAGCACTCCTCTCCAGCCCTCCCTGCCCTGTGTAAAGGCTGTTCTGTCCCTAGGGCAACATCTGGGAGCAGGTCTTCCGAGTCTCCTTCATCCTGGAGATGATCAACACGCTGCCCTTCATCATCACGGTGGGTGAGCCTGCTGCGGGCGTGGTGGCCCAACCCCGGCTGCGCTGACTTGTCCCCTCCACAGATATTCTGGAGGCCACTGCGGAACCTATTCATCCCCGTGTTTCTGAACTGCTGGCTGGCCAAGCACGCGCTGGAGAACATGATCGTAAGCCTGGGGCCTGGGTCCATCCACCAGCCTCCCTTCTGCTCAGTGCCTCAAAGACATGGGGTGTGGGGGCAGCTTGAGGCCAGTCGGTGACCAGGGGGCCAATGACCAGCAGAAACAGCCTGCCCCCTGGCAGCATAAATATCCAGGTCAAGGTTTGAATTCCCTCTTTCTGGGAAAAAACTAAACCCCCAGAGCTTTTCCTGACCTGGGGAATAAATGGCTGTGGGGGGACAAAGTGTCAAGTGACAACATCCCAGGCAGTGAGACCCAGGGCCACAGAAACCAAGGCTGCGGCAGACCAGGCCTTGTGACCCAGGGCCCCAGCCGACCCCAACTCGTGCCCCCCATTCCTGTCTGAGTCGTGACATGGAGCTATGGAGCTGGGCCGGGCCACCCCTGTCCTAGCCCTGGCACTGGGCTCAGCCTGGCCCACACCTTCACTTTGCTCCCAGGGTGCTAAGGGGAGAAAGCAGGGTGGGGTAGCCTGCCCATGTCCAAGGTGCCCTGTGGGCCCTCACCAGATACCCCTGTGCCAGGACTCTGCTTCCCAGTGTCTTCCTGTGGTGGGGCGCAGGCCCTGCCTGCTGACAGCATCACACCTCTGCAGAATGACTTCCACCGTGCCATCCTGCGGACGCAGTCGGCCATGTTTAACCAGGTCCTCATCCTCTTCTGCACTCTGCTCTGCCTCGTCTTCACAGGGTGTGTGCCACAAGTGCAAAGGGCACAGGGAGGGCCAGGGTAGCCTCTCCCCTGGCAGAGCTGGGGCAGGAAAGACCACGACCTACTGGGACTGAGGTCCAAGAAGCTCCAGCCCATGTCCCAGTAATGGGCAACCCCCAGAGTCCTGCTCCCCTGAGGCCCAGGGACACCCAGGTCCAGTTTCATGGTCTGTGCCTTAGGCTCCAAGGAGAGAGACAGGCCCCAGACCAGGTGGGGCCCTTTTGGGCTGAGGCCCAGCTGAGAATAGCAGCCAGAGGTTGGGTGGGAGACTGGGCCCCCTCCCAGTGGGTTTTCTCAGGGCCCAGGAAAAAGCTAGGAAGAGAGGCTCGGGGGGCCTGCTGGGTGTCACTGCCAGGCAACCAGTTGGCTCTGGCAGGGCCTGGGGAATGGGGCGACTTGCAGAGCTGCCTGCAAACCCCCAGGCTCAGACGCAGAGGCTCAGTGGGGGGTCTACCTGCCGCAGAGGCTCAGTGGGGGGTCTACCTGCCGAGGAGGGGACCGTCTTGGCCCACTTGACCAGGCACCCTGGTGAACCTGTTGCTGTCCCCGGGGTGGCAGGGTCCCTGGGCAGGCAGACAGTGCCACCGTCCCCCACAGGACCTGTGGCATCCAGCACCTGGAGAGGGCGGGTGGGAACCTGTCCCTGCTGACCTCCTTCTACTTCTGCATCGTCACCTTCTCCACTGTGGGCTACGGCGACGTGACGCCCAAGATCTGGCCATCCCAGCTGCTGGTGGTCATCATGATCTGTGTGGCCCTCGTGGTGCTGCCACTGCAGGTGGGCCCTGGCATCAGCCCTGCTGGATGGCAGAGGGACAGGTGGGATTGTCGGGCCAGGCGGAGCATCTGCAGTGGGCCTGCTGAGCGATGAGGCCAATGGCACTTGGGGCAGTGAGTGATGATGGAGCTTGGTCCTTTCCTGGAGACAGAGGGTCTCTCAGTGCTGGGTGAGCAGCCCCCAGGGAGCTGTGCGGAGGACCTTAGGGTTCTTAGAGTGAACAGTCACCCTTTTTCCTGCCCACATCTGGTTGTGGCACAACAAGGGCCACCTAGCCACTTCCCTGTCACCTGCTGCCCAGGCCAATGTGGCCACTGAGCAGAGCTGGGGGCAGATGGGACCCTGGCAGGAAAGGCAGAGGCCTGGTGGGGCCAGCTGCCCCAGGGCACATGTGGACAGCCCGGACAGGCCCTGCTCCGGGCCGGTGGGGACCCTCCCTGTCACTAGCAGTGGCACATTCCCTGGAGTGTAGGTGGGAAGGACCTGGAAGAGGGGCTGGGCTTTTGGAGAGTCAGACCCTAGGTGGACACAGGATGCAGAAGACGGGGCTAAGCATCTAGTGTGGCCTCTGCTGACACTGATGGCCCCTCAGCCCAGCTTCTGCCCCCACCTCTGAGCTTGAGGCCCTGCCCACCCCCACTGGCCTAGTAGGGCCTAAACAGCAGCAGGCGGTTGTGGGCGTGACCTTCCCCCACCCCTGCACCCGAGAGACAGAGCAGGAGCATTCTTCCTTTCTGCTGGGACTGCCTGCTCCTGGCGGAGCACCTCCCACTGGCAGCTCGGGTTTGCATGCTCTGCGCCCACGCCGAAACCCCTCCTCCCTTGCGGAGTCCTCAGTCACTGTTTTAGGGGAATTGGATTTACCAGTCTCTGCCTTTCTGGTTTCTCATTCCTGTCTTGTCTCAGTAGACCGTTCTCTCTTGCTGAGTCATTAATCCACTTCCTGTTTTCTACTAAAAGTGTGAAGCTTGCTTCTCATGAGGATGGCTCAGCCCACCTGCCAAGTGTGGGGTGGGGAGCAAGTTGTTCCCTGTGGCCCAGCCCTGTCCCTCTGCCATCTCACTCCTCTCGTCCCTTCCCTTGGATTCAGGGTGCCCCACTCCAGATGACCTCACTCAGCACTTTACCTTAATCATATCGACAAGGACCCAAATCTGAGCACAGTTCCTTTCTGAGGCTCCAGGGGAGGAATCTTCCAACCCACTTTTGGGGCCACCAACCACCCTGCTGTGGCCCCAGCGCTTGTCTGCTATCCTCCACTTGGCCCACATTCTCATGCTGACCCCCATCTGCTCAGCCCGCTGCTCTGCCCCACCAGGTGCCCCCATATAGAGTTCTCGGCTGCTCATCTCCTAATCCCCACAAGCCCCCAGGTGACACTCTGAGAGCCCCCGTAGAAGTTGGAGATTGAGGGCAGCAGCTGGGGTCCCTTCCCCAAGTGGGCCTCTGAGCCCAGCCATACTCCCCAAGATGCAGAGAGCCCCCAAATGCAGCCCCAGAGCTGCTTTCAAAGGTAGATTGAGGGAGCATTCCCTCCGTGGCTTTCTCAGCCAGGCCCAGAGCGCCCGGGGGCCGAGGACTAAATTATTCCTGGGACCCCAAGGCGGAATCTTCCAGTTCCCCCTCCATTTGGTGGGGCCTGCCAGCCTCTCAGGGTGTGAAATTGCACCATAGTCATTAAGTGTGTAAGAAAGACTTACTCCCCATCCAAACTGAGACCACTGGCCAGAAGAACCTCTGGGAGCGTCACAAAGGACATCTGAATTGTGCCAAACCACTGGGTCCCACTTCACTGCACTGAAGGAAGCTGGGTGCACTGAGGGCAGGGTCCCCATGCCCCTCTGCTGGGTCCACAGCCTCTGCTGCTGGGTCCCTCATTCTACTCCTGGGGTATCAGGGCTCCCTTCACTGGTCTGTCCTGGGAAACAAGATGAAATCTTCATATCACACTGGACCCTACTCAGGGAAATCCACAGAACAAATGGCCCACAGCTGCAAGACCTAACTGCACTGGCTGGTGTGACCGTGGTTCAGATGACCCACATGCTCCACTTACTGCCCAGGTGCCTTTCGGGCCAGCTGTGATCTGCTCTGGTGCCCTCTGCTCTGCCATTGGGTGGGCGAGGCAGCCCCTGTGTGGGGTGTAGGGGCAGGTGGCAGGGAGAGAGTGCCTTGGCAGGAGTGTGGGTCCTGGAGCCACTGCCAAGAGCTGACACACAATGCTGCTCCCGTTCACGTCACTGCAGCCAACACGACACCTCTTCAGTGATGAAGAAAGGGCAGACCCAGTGATCTTCCCCTGCTCTGCCATGGGGTGAACCTCACCAGTTACAGCCCTGAGAGAAGAACCATGTCCATGAAGCCCCCTCAAGCACTCCCCAAACACAGAGATGACAGCTGAGGTCTCCCAGGAGCCCCTCTGCAGGCACGGAGCTGAGTGTTGCACAGGCATCAGTGAGTCATGACCTGGGCTGCTGTCACAAACCACCACTGCAGGGCTTCACTGCAGCAATGTGTCTCCTGTCAGTCCTGGGGGCCGGAAGTGCAAAGTGCAGGTATCCACAGGGCAGGTCTCCTCTGCGGCTCTCAAGGACAATCTGCCCCAGCCCCCCAGCCTCTTGGGGTGCTGCAGTCCTCGGCTCGTAGAGGCATCACCTGAATCTCTGACTCTGTCACTCATGGCCTCTTCTCTGCACCTGTCTGGTCACTGTATTGAGGCCCACACTTCCCAGGCAACTTCATCTGAGCCAGTTACATCGGCAGAGACCCCGTTTCTAGTCCAGTTGGCCACATCATGACATTCTGGAGCAATGTGAATTTTAGGGGGTTGCTGTCGAATGTGCTGCAGTCAGCTCATTCAACCACATGGCAGGCAACTCTGGGAGGCCAGCACCTGCTGCCACTGGCAGATGCAGAAACTGAGACTCAGAGCCACGCAGCCTGTGAAAGGTGGGCTGCTGGCAGGGAAGCCTATGGTACCTGTTCGGATCACCCTGGAGTCCTGGGCACCTCTGAGGTCAGGGCCATGGGGCCTGCAGTGAATCCTAGGAGGTGTGATGACTGCATGCGGCCATGCACGTTAGAACTCGAGGGGGCTGTTGCAGCCATTTATATAAAAGGTGTTGAGTGAATGAGTGACCACAAAGCTCAGATGGAAGAAGCACTTTTGATGACAGACAATCTGACCCAGGTGTGGATGCCTGGCAGCACTGAGCACCCTGGACAGCTCCACACTGCCTTGGCCTGGTATACTCTGGAGAGGCTCAGTGCTGGCATCCAGGAGGCAGAGCCAGGCCCTGACACCTGCAGCCTGAGTCACCAGCCCCCCTCCCAGGGGTTAAGGTGGTCCCCCCACGCCTGACGCCCAACTTAGCATTGCCACTGTCAGGACAGCTGTTCTTACCTTCTGGACCTCCTCACATGCTGTCAGTTTGCACCAAAATAAATCCAGGGGCTGGCAGGAAGGTCTTCAGTCTGAGGGTTACCTGAATGTCCATTGAGCAGGTGCTGGCACACTCGCAGTCACCTGGCTGTCCCAAGCAGAGCCAGCCTTGCTGTGTTGTGCACTGCCCCCTGTGCTGGCCAGCAGGAACATCCACTCTGCTTCCTGCTTGGCCCTGTGTGCCCCATGCCACACACACCTGCAGTCTTCCAACCACCCTGTTTCTGCCAGGCCTCCTCGGTCCTGCTCCAGCCTCTGCCTGGGCCACCCTCCTGCCCTGCAGGCTTGGCCTCTATCCTGCTCTGCATGGCTGGGTGATTGGTATCTGCTGCTTCCGTGTGGGGAAGGCCCCACAGGGCAGTGGTCACCCCACAGCTGGCCTGGGCCGCTGGCGCTTACCTTCTCTCACCCACAGTTTGAGGAGCTCGTCTACCTCTGGATGGAGAGGCAGAAGTCAGGGGGCAACTACAGCCGGCACCGGGCCCAGACAGAAAAGCACGTGGTGCTGTGCGTCAGCTCCCTCAAGATCGACCTTCTCATGGACTTCCTGAACGAGTTCTATGCACACCCCCGACTCCAGGTGAAGCCCCCTTGCTGAGGCCCACCAGTGAGGCTTCACGGTCTTCCTGGCACTGAGGGTGGCCAGCCCCCTCCCCAGGACTGCTTCATGCTGGGAAAGTGCCCGGAGCCCTGGGTGGGGGGGCAAATGGGCTGGTGGTCTCGCCTTTCCCTCCTGTCAGATTTGAGATCATGGTGGGCTCCTGGGCCATAGGCGGTGGGTGTGAAGATCCCCTGGGGAAGCAGGACGGGCCAGGCATGCGGAGCTTGCTTGGAGCATCTGACCGCAGCCTGGCCAGCAGGACTACTACGTGGTCATCCTGTGTCCCACCGAGATGGACATCCAAGTACGCAGAGTCCTACAGATCCCCCTGTGGTCCCAGCGGGTCATCTACCTCCAGGGCTCGGCGCTCAAGGACCAGGACCTCATGCGGGCCAAGTGAGCTCAGCAGCCAGGGCTGGGCCCTTCCTGAGACAGGTGCCACCAGGAGACTGGGGGATGGGCCAGGCCCTCACGGCCCACCCAGCTAGCTGCTCTGTGCAGAGGGTCCCAGGGGTGGGTGGCTGGATAGTCTTGGCTAGGTGTCAGTAGGGCCAGATGGAGTGGACCATCAGGAGGGTGTCTCTGGTTCCAGCTCAGGGCCCACTGTCCAGCCACGGTCCAGGTGAGCAGGACCTGCCTACCCAGCTGAGCCTCTGCCTCCCCTTGGCTGAACAAGGGTGAGCCTTTGGGAAGTCCCACCCTTCCCTCCCCCGAGTCTAGGGGATTCTTTGTCAAGTTCTAAGAAGTCTCAAAATAGAGGAGGGCGGAGAGTCAGCTGCATGAGTCAAGGCCCCAGGGGAACGGGGGCTGAGGCTAGGGCTTCCTTTTAAAGACAAGTTGATAGAGTGACTTCAGGTAACAACTGTCACATGGAACTTTCCAGAATGTGTTGGTACATGTTCTAGGGCACTCCCTGGGAACCCTTCTGCCACATTGTCATTCCAGAAGCCCTGAAGTGTCCCCTTGTGGCATACAGTGGGTTGTGAGGCCAGAGGAGCCCCAGAACCAGGGTCCCTATCCCCCTTCCTGAGCCTACTGGTGATGGGATGTGGCCAGTTCTGGGCTCCCATCCATAGCGTTTGCCTATGCCCAGCTCCAGGTGCGGTGGGAAGAAGTGCTTGGCCAGGCAGGGTCAAGTGGGGGCAGTGGGTGCAGGGTCTGGGGCCCATGTGGAGTGGGCAGTGGTACTGGTGAAGTGGGAGGCTCACTGTCCTGAGGCAAGAGGGGACAGCTTCTCAGATGGGCTCTCAGCAGAGTCCTGCAGGGAGGGCAGGTAGAAGGGGGTCAACCAGGTTCCCAGACCATAGTGCCACCAGGCCAGGGAGGGTACAGGGCCTTACCCCCAGTCTCCCAATTCTCTGCTGTGCTCAGCCCAGCCCTGGCTAATGGGGGACACACAGGATGCCCCCCAGAACCAGCTGATACCCAGGCCTGGTTAGCTGCCCCAGTACTCAGGTTACTGGCACACAGTAAGGTGGGGTCTCAAGGGGCCAAGCCCCTGACTGCAAAGAGACCAGGTGAGCTACAGACAGACCCAGGCAGGCCCATGCAGTGAGGGCTCAGGGCCCCTCACTGGCTCCTGCCACCTTCCCACATGGACACCCAGGGACAAGATGGGGCCAGGGGTGTATGAGGGGGAGGGGAGACAAGGCCCTGGGAAGCACAGTGGGTCCCAGTCAACGCTGAAGCCTGGAAAAGCTGGGGTCAGCTTGTCTCCAGGACACATTTGCCCCATGGGGTCCAGCTCCCTGCCCCTTCCCCCCAGCCAGCCTGTCAGTGCCCTGGGGCGGGGGTGGGGGTAGGCAGCGGCAGACAAACCCAGCTTGTATGTCTGGCTGAGTGTCTGAGCTCGGACCCTTCTGTGGGCTTCCTGAGCCAGTGCTCAGCCCTGGCGCTCTGCAGGATGGACAATGGGGAGGCCTGCTTCATCCTGAGCAGCAGGAACGAGGTGGACCGCACCGCGGCGGTGAGTGAGGCCACAGGCCCTGCCCAGACCCCGCTGCTGCAGCCCCCTACCTGGCAGGGGAGGTGCTATGGGGCAGAGGGCCACGGACCTGAGGGCAGGGCACCCACAGCTTGCTACTGCTGCTGCCCACCTACTTACTTACCAGCAGAGACAGACGTCCACACTGACCACTCCCTGCCTCTGCCCACCAGGACCACCAGACCATTCTGCGGGCTTGGGCTGTGAAGGACTTTGCCCCCAACTGCCCTCTCTATGTCCAGATCCTTAAGCCTGAGAACAAGTTTCACGTCAAGTTTGCTGGTGAGTTTGGGGAGGGGCAGGTGTGCACACAGGTGAGTGTGCATGTTTGCAGGTGGGGGGGGTGGTCCATCCTGGAGGAGCAGCAGGAATGGGGACAGAGACCCTCCCATCCTCACTGTGTGCACACAGGTGAGTGTGCATGTTTGCAGGTGGGGGGGGTGGTCCATCCTGGAGGAGCAGCAGGAATGGGGACAGAGACCCTCCCATCCTCACTGCATCGGGGAGGGGGACTCCAGGTGGGTCCCACCTTTTGAGATGAGCAGGGCCCCCAGGGTCAGTGAGGGCAGGAGCACTGACAGATGAGGGTCTCCATGGGCAGGGCCAGGTGGGGAGAGGTCTGCATAGTAACAGCGCAGCCGGTGAGGCTCAAAGTGCTTGAGGGGCCCAAGACTTCCAGGGCTGAGCAGAGATTGCCCAGCCACCTGCAGGGCTCTGGGGAGGGGCCCAGGCAGGGTCTGCGCAGGTGTGGACCCGACCCTGATCCTGCAGACCACGTGGTGTGTGAGGAGGAATGCAAGTACGCGCTGCTGGCCCTCAACTGCATCTGCCCGGCCACCTCCACGCTCATCACCCTGCTGGTGCACACCTCCCGCGGCCAGTGAGTGCCCCGCGCCCCAGACGCCGCCGCCGGCCACCGCAGGGGACAAGGCAGGCCTGCGGGGCCATCCAGGCCGCGGGCGGGTTCCCGGGGGAGCAGGGCAGGGCCCGCGCGGCACGGGAGGGCTGGGCGGGCGGCAAGGCCAAGTGTGACAGGCCGCGCCCCGCAGGGAAGGCCAGGAGTCGCCTGAGCAGTGGCAGCGCATGTATGGGCGCTGCTCGGGCAACGAAGTGTACCACATCCGCATGGGCGACAGCAAGTTCTTCCGCGAGTACGAGGGCAAGAGCTTCACCTACGCGGCCTTCCACGCGCACAAGAAGTGAGCGGGCGGGACTCTGTGGGCGGGGAGGGCCTGCTAAGGGGCGTCTTGGGGGCGGGGCCTTGCCGGGCGTGGTTTCTAATGGGGCGGAGCTTCGCGTGGGGGTGCTCTAGGGACCTTCGCATGGGTGGGGCTGCTTGGAGGTGGAGCTTTGTGTGGGGTGGGGTCTGCAAGACCAAGATTGGCATGGGTGGGGCCCTCCTGGGACTGGTCTCTATGGTCCTACCGGTAGGTCTGGGAGGAAAGGACCCTGGGTGGAGACTCCAGAGCCAAGGGAGCAGGAAGTGCTGGTCAGACCAGTCTGGTGTGGACCCCCCGTGTGGTGGCCTCCGGTGGCCTTGGGCTGGGCACAAAAGTGTGCCTCATGGCCTTGGGAGGGCGCCCCTAGGTCTTTGGGTCCCCAACATCTGTTAGGGCAGGGCGACAGCAGGGGGGAGCCCGGTGCAGGCTGCAGTCCAAGATACTGCCCCCCCAGGTACGGCGTGTGCCTCATTGGGCTGAAGCGCGAGGACGACAAGAGCATCCTGCTGAACCCCGGGCCACGGCACATCCTGGCTGCCACAGACACCTGCTTCTACATCAACATCACCAAGGAGGAGAACTCGGCCTTCATCTTCAAGCAGGAGGAGAAGCAGCAGCAGAGGGCCTCCCCCGGACAGGGGCTGTACCAGGGGCCCTCGCGCCTGCCAGTGCAAAGCATCATTGCCTCCATGGGTGAGCCTGGCCCGGGGCACTAGCAGGGACTTCTCCTTTTCCCCAGAGCCTAAGCAGGGGCCCTAGTGCTCACTGCAGCCTAAAGGTCCTGGCTCAAGCAATCCCTGCCTCAGCCTCCCAAGTAGGTAAACTGCAGGCACCTGCCACAATGCCTGGCTATTTTTTTCTATTTTTAATAGAGACAGGGACATGCTTTTGCTCAGGCTGGTCTCAAACTCCTGAGCTCAAGTAAGCCACCTGCCTCTCAGAGAGCTAGAATTATAGGCCTGAGCCACTGCACGTAGCCTATTGTTATCATTTTCTAGAGATGGGTCTTTCTCTTTTGCCGAGGCTGGCCTCAAACTCCTGGGCTCAAGGGAACCTTCCGCCATGGCCTCTCAGAGCATTAAGATTACAGGCATGAGCCCCTGAGCTTGACCAAGACTCAACCCTTGCCTTGGACAAGTAGTCTCTCTGAGCCTCAGTTTTTGAATCTGTCAAATGGGAGTGTCCTCACTTTCTTGTGAGACCTTTGTTCACATCAGTCACAGTGCCTGCCCAAGTGGGGCTAACCTGGGTCAGGGGTCACTGAGAGCTTCTGCCCTTGGGGTGCACTGGCCAAGTAGCCACTCTGGTGAGGAAACTGCCTCCACGGCCAATTGGTAGGAGCTGGAAGTACCTGGTGCTCCCATGAGCCGAAAGGATGTCCTGAAGCTCTGATGTCCCCTAGGGCCAGACATCAGCTAGACACTATCAAAACTCGGAGGCTTTGGCCTCTTCTTGCCTTCCAGGGCTCCTCTCTGGGGCCGTGTGCTGGGCAAGTCCAGCCACCTGCTTGGGTAGGTGCAGGCCATAGGCATCAGCAATGATGGGTGTCATCCCCTTCCTGGCCAGGAGAGACACCCAGGCCACAGAAATCACAGGCTGGGCCAGGCATTACCATTCATTCAGTGACAGGCCTGAGCCCTGCCCCTGCCCCACATCTATACTATTGGCCTGGGGAGTCAGTGCATGCTCCCCACCAGAATGTCCAGTTCCAGCTCAGTGAAGTACAGCCTCCCACCAGAATGTCCAGTTCCAGCTCAGTGAAGTACAGCCTCCCACCAGAATGTCCAGTTCCAGCTCAGTGAAGTACAGCCTCCCAGACCCACCGGTTTGGAGACATGGTAATGCAGGGCCAGGGCCAGCTAGACCTGGAAGTTGCCATCCCTGTCTGTGGCAGCTTGCTCTGGTGGCTCAGTGGGGATGAGAGGTGTGGGGAGAGATAATCCACTGCGCCAGCCACACACCCATTTCTCATGGGCACACTGCCCCTATGTGGCTTCTAGGAAACTGTGGGAATCAGGCGGCTCTCCCCACACCCCAGAATTCAACACCCTGGGGGGATCTCCAGCCTTTACCAGGTGGCCCCAGGCTGTGTGGGAGTGGCAGAGACTGCTCCAGCAGGTGCTAGAGGCCTGGCAGTGCCTGTATCATCTTCGTAGTGGCCTCACCCACTGGCTTTATCCTGAGGCAGACTGCCCAGCTGCTGGCCCCTGAGCTCCCACCCAGGGTGGTTGGCATGAAAATCACAGCAGCCGACTTGGGTGGGGGTCCCCAGGGTCTTTGTTGAAATCCCTAGTACCCCAGCAGGCCACTATCTGCATTGTTTGTAAGGGAAACTGAGGCTCAGAGGGGTGCCAAAACTCCCAGGGCCATGCAGTTGGAGGACAGGGAGCTCTCTCTGGGGACCCACCGTCCACAAAGAGCCAGGATTGGGAGGGGGTGAAGCCAAGCCCAGTTTCTGTCTTCCAGGAACAGTGGCCATGGACCTCCCAAGTGCTGAGTGCCGGCCCTCGCAGAGTGGCGGGGGTGGTGGGGGCAGTAAGTTGGCACTGCCCACAGAGAACGGCTCAGGTAGCCGGCGTCCCAGCATTGCGCCAGTCCTGGAGCTAGCAGACAGCTCAGCCCTGCTGCCCTGCGACCTACTGAGTGACCAGTCGGAGGATGAGGTGACACCATCAGATGATGAGGGACTTTCCACAGTGGAGTAAGTGCAGGAGTTTCCTGGGGGGTGGAGGAGACCTGAGTGGAAACATCCCAGGGGTCAGGCACTTCAGAACAGCTTTGTAGAAGTCCTTGTCCTGCAAATGGGATAAACAGACAGAGCTGGGAGTGGGGTTGTGGGAGCAGGGGCTGTGCAGGCCATGCCCCTCCATCAGTCTGGCTGGGTGCAGCACTGACCAGGCAAGATGTCCCTTAGGGCTCATAGACCCCATGTGGTGCCTTGCCGTGGGCCAGGCCAACATCTAGAGGGGCCCTTCTTGCTGGTTCTACCAGCCCACAGCAGCTGGGGACTCAGCAGGTCTGAGACAGGCCAGGGCTCGGGGCCCTCATGGTCCTCCTTGCACCCTACAGAGCCCAAGGGAACACAGCACACTCTGCTGGAGGTGGGTGTACTCTGAGCAGGGTCCAGCCACAGGAGACCTCTGGTCAAGGCAGCATCCAGGCCTGGGAGCAGCAGGCTTGTCCCAAGCTGTTTTCCTTGGTCAGGTCTCCCTGTCTCAAATCATGAGATAGACACCCGGACTGTGCCCAGAAGCTCTCTGCCTTTCAGCCTCAGCCAGGACAGGCCTGTGTGTCCCGACCCCAAGCTGGGCTGTCTCACTCTGCCCTAGTCCTTGTCTCTGGGGTGACATTGACACACTTTAATACCATGCCCACAGCTGGGAATAGCTCTGAGACAGAAGGGTCCAGCCAGGGCTCATGGACACGTGGGGCAGGTGGCAGGGCTGGCCTCTGGTCCGCCACTCTTATGGCAGCTGGAGACTGGCCTGGAGGCCTACCCTGCCCAGGCTGCATCAGGAGCCCTGGCCTGTGGCCTCTCAGAATGTTAAGATTATAGGCGTGAGCCCCTGAGCTTGACCCATGTGGCTACCCTGGCACTGCCTACAGCACATGCTTGCTTCTGGGCACCAGGGCTGGGCAGGCCCCTGGACAGAGTCCCACAGACCTGGCCATAGGAGTGTTTCCTGACACAGATGGTCTAGGGCAGAGCAGGCTGCCCTGGCCAGCCCCGGTGACCTGCAGCATTGTGGTCATGGGAGGGGTGGGGTGGATGCCCTCGAGTCCCCCAACCACAGGGTGACCCAGTGGACATGCAGATACACTGAGGGCTCCTGTCTCCCACCAGGTATGTGAGGGGCTACCCACCCAACTCACCCTACATTGGCAGCTCCCCCACCCTGTGCCACTTGCTGCCCGTGAAGGCCCCCTTCTGCTGCCTGCGGCTGGACAAGGTAAGGTCAAGCTGCCCCTGCCTCGCCTGTGCCACCCACACCAATTTTCCTGCCGTGAAATGCTTTTCCTTTTGTGGTTAACAAGTTGAGTCATTTTGAGGAGACAAGCCATTCATGGGACTTCTACCTACTAGTTTTGGCATCAATCAATGGTTTTCTAGTTCTCAAATCTGTGTATTTTGTTAGTGGTCTGCCAAGAAGGGCTCCCGCCCATATGCGCATTCCTACGTGTGCATGGACGTGGCGTGTGGTGCTGTGGCCCAGCACTGTTGCTGCACTTGCAGGTGGTGACTGAGCTGATGCTCAGGCTGTCCCGGCCTATGGGGGATATTAGGGGTGTCCCCCAGCTGGCTTCTGGGCCCTCAACCTATGAGCACTTCTCCACTTTCTCACCCAAGACGTCCTGGCTGCATCTGGGACATACCCTGCTCCAGTGTGGAGTCACCTGTTTCTCCAAGGAGCCCTGATTCCTTCTAGTGAAACCATAGACTGGGCACATGGTGCGCCCACTGAGGCTGGGGTGTCCTTACCCCTCTGGGGACAGAGCTAGAAAGGGTGTCTACACTCACACACGCACACAGCCACATTTATTTGCGTCTGCAGCCACTTGCTGAAGCCACACATCCTCACAGATACTGCCCTTCCTAAGACTGACGCGGCTCCCCCATCTTAGCCTGAGTGCCCTGCTGTGCTCTGTGCCACGGGCTGACTTCGGGCAACCACTCAAGCTTACTTGGGCTGTGGAGGGCCTGTGGGGGGGGAGCTGTTGGCGGGGGGTCCCGGGGAGCCTGCCAGAGCTGCCTCTACATCTGGCCCCAGGGCTGCAAGCACAACAGCTATGAGGACGCCAAGGCCTATGGGTTCAAGAACAAGCTGATCATCGTCTCAGCAGAGACGGCGGGCAATGGGCTGTACAACTTCATAGTGCCGCTGCGGGCCTACTACCGATCACGCAAGGAGCTCAACCCCATCGTGCTGCTGCTGGACAACAAGTGAGCCCCTGCTGCAGCCCCCCTACTGCAGCTCCCCTGCAGTCTTCCTGCCCACAGTCCCTCCAGTCTCCCAGCCTGTAGCCCCCTCAGCCCCCCTGCTCATAGTCTCCTGAGGCCCCCTGCCTGCAGCCCCCTACAGCAACCTCAGCCCCTCACCCACAGACCCGCTCAGCCTTGCCTCCCTCCTCTTCCTCCCATAGCTTCTCTCACCCCTCCTTGTGAGTCCCTGTAGTGGGGGCCACATAGCTTTTCGCCCAGGGGCCCCCATGTTTGGCAGCTGCAGGTCAGGGTCCAGTCTTGGCCATCTGACTTGGGAGGGTTCCATTCCCAGGGCCTTCGTTTCCCCTTGGGTAAAATAAGGAACAGCCCTGATGGTCCGAAAGGCCATCCATGTGCAGTGATCCTGGGACCCCCATGTGGCCCAGGTCTGCTCATCAAGGGCAGGGCCCCTGCTGAGGGGGACAAAAGGTAGAGTGCTCCCCAGGACTCTCTGTCCCCACAGGCCTGACCACCACTTCCTGGAGGCCATCTGCTTCTTCCCCATGGTCTACTACATGGAGGGCTCTGTGGACAAGTGAGTCAGATGTGGGGCTGGCCACACTGTAGGGAGTGTCCTCCGAGGGGGCTGCAGACCCAGGGCTGCCCCTGACAACATGTCTACCGGCCACTCCGGCTAGCCTGGACAGCCTGCTACAGTGTGGGGTCATCTATGCTGACAACCTGGTGGTGGTAGACAAGGAGAGCACCATGAGTGCCGAGGAGGACTACATGGCCGATGCCAAGACCATCGTTAACGTGCAGACCATGTTCCGGTGAGCCGGCCCCAAACTGGCCCCCAGACCACCACAGCCCGCCCAGACTCCCAGAATGACCCTTGCCCTGAGGACCCCGTCATGACCACAGCCCGCCAGACTCCCTGCATGACCCTGCCCTGAGGACGCCATCATGACCACAGCCAGCCCAGACTCCTTGCATGACCCTGCCCTGAGGACCCCGTCATGACCACAGCCAGCCCAGACTCCCTGCATGACCCTGCCCTGAGGACGCCATCATGACCACAGCCCACCAGACTCCCTGCATGACCCTGCCCTGAGGACGCCATCATGACCACAGCCCACCAGACTCCCTGCATGACCCTGCCCTGAAACCCCCCCTATGGCCCCGAGCCCACCTGCCTGATGCAGGCTGCCTCCCCCAGCCTGTTCCCCAGCCTGAGCATCACCACGGAGCTCACCCACCCTTCCAACATGAGGTTCATGCAGTTTCGTGCCAAGGACAGCTACTCCTTGGCTCTTTCCAAACTGGAGAAGGTGAGCCTGGAGGGAACCTGGAGGGAGCGAGTAAAGGGGCTGAAGGGGACAGGAGCCAGCAGCCTGGGGCTGGGCTCTGCCCTCTTGCAGGAGACCAGGACTCACAATACCTCGCTGCTCAGAGATGTGTGACCTGCGTTTTCCCTGGCCCCTGACTAGTGGGATACTGGCTAGTAACAGACTGCTGGCTCCCTGAACAGGGGCCAGGCCTGGCGTGTCTAGAGCCAAGGCTATCTGTCCTGGGTGGTCAGTTGGTCAGTGCAAGCACAGCCCTGATTTTGCAGGGGTGAGGTCAGTCACTGTTGGCACCAAGGATTCCCACAGGCCCCCCAGCCCCTGTCCCAGACACTGTGCCCGAACTTGCCACATGCTTGTTCCCATATCCGCCCTTGTGTGGACACAGGGCTGACAGTAGAGAGGCCGACAGGCCTGCTTCCACCACACAGCAGAGCCAGTGCCAAGCTGCAGGCAGCTCTCGGCTCCTTTGTGCTCCTTGAGGCTTCATGATGTCTCCCAGGGGACCCTGGAGACCCACCAGGTGGAAGGGGCCTGGACTGGGTGAACAGTGAGAGTGTGCTCAGCATGGACTGAGTGGTCCATGGAACCCCTGCAGCTCTCCCTGCACCAGGGGAGGACAGGAAGCTGGCTGGACAGCCGCAGGCTAGCTGGGGGAGCCCTGCCAATCAGCAGCCTGGAGGTATAGAGAGATCACTGGAGGTGCAGGGAGACCCTGTATGGCACCTCCCACCTGGGCCCTTCCTGGAGGCCACCCCACACCAGGGGTGGACGTTTCGCCCAGTGTGCCAGGACTCTGTCCCAGCCTGAGGCATAATGTCAGGATACAGAAGACAGGGTCAGTCTGGGCATCACCTAATTTCGCATGGGAGCCAGGTCATGCTGGCTCCTTGGCTGCCCTCACTTCCATCTGCCCCCAGCATGCCTGGCTGCTTGTGGCTTCCCCACCTATTTGTGGAGCAGGCTCGACACAAGGCAGGTAGGCAGACACGGGTGAGGGTGCCCCCAGATCCTGCCCTAGGGATGGCAGCCTCGGCCCCTTTCCCTACAGCTGGGCCTCCAGCAACCCCGCTGAGCACCAGGTACAGTTAGCCCACCTCCTTTCCCAGGGCAGTAAGAGGTCCTGGGCCCCATCACATGGCTTCATGATGATGGCCTTGACAAGGACCACCTGGAAGTGTCAGGATCCCCACAAAGCTCCCAGGAAGTGACCCAGGCTTCTCTATATGGGGCCACTGCTGGCCTGTCATTACCCCTCCCTGGTGAATGTGGGACCTGCAATGGACACCAGAGTGTTTCCTCACTCCTCGGGCTGTTGTAGCCTTTGTGCTCCCTGGGGTCTTTGCCACCCAGCACATCCAGGCTGCCTGTGCTCAGACAGTGGGCCAACAGGCAGGGATTGGCTTCTGATCACAGCACCTGGGACTGCTGAAGGCCCTTTTTTAAAAAAAGAAATGATTTATTTTTATAAGCATGTATAGGCTCGGCACCTGTGGCTCAAGTGGCTAAGGCGCCAACCACATACACCTAAGGTGGCGGGTTCAAATCCAGCCCGGGCCCGCCAAACAACGATGGCTGCAACCAAAAAATAGCCGGGCATTGTGGCGGGCACCTGTGGTCCTAGCTACTTGGGAGGCTGAGGTAGGAGATTTGCTTAAGCCCAGGAGTTGGAGGTTGCTGTGAGCTGTAATGCCAGGGCACTCTACACAGGGGTACAGCTTGAGGCTCTGTCTCAAAAAAAAAAAAAATGTATATATATATATATATAAGCATGTACATGTTCATTAAATCTTGTATTACACTTTCAGGAATACTGAAAGTATAAAGAAGAAAGGGTTAGAAAGTATAAAAAGAAAGGGTTACCCCAACCCTACAGCAGCATCTGTTAGGTCCAGGCCTAGAGGAAGGGTGGGAAGGGATTCTTACAGGACCGTGAGCAGGGGACAGCACGGGCTGGGCATGGATCTCCAGTGCCTGGGTCCTCCTTACTTAGATTTAATATAAAATATAGGAATTAAGGGTATTTCTGACACTGAGATAAACCTGCCCTGCAAAGAGATAGTCATCATAAGAGAATGCAGTAACTTAAAAATTTATCCGGAACCCTCAGGGGTGGGTCAATATGGCATCTCCCCAGGGTTCTCCTCTGGAAGCTCCCAGAAACCTGACAGGAGCATTTGCGCCCCCACCCTCTGTCTGCTCCCCTCCCTGGGCTCTGGCCCCAGGCTCCCTGGGTCTATCCTGGTTTAGCTGCTGAGTCCAAGTCTTATGCAGGGCTGCTCCGGGCCCAGTCCTGGCCCCTGTCCGTGAGGCTCCCTGGCTCATTCCCTGGGAAGGGCTCTGCGTTCCAGCCATCCCATCCGGCTCCAGCAAAAGCCCTAATGTCCTTCTAGTGACCTGTACAAGATAAAAATGTAGGAGGAAATCTCCGTGGAATGTCCTAAGAGCAGGTCATTTCCTTCCTTCTTTGGTCTCCCCTTGGACCTGTCCTGGGTCACAGTTCCAATTTTATGTCGTTCTGAGTAAAGGGAAATTAAAACTGTTAATTATTCAATTTTACCATTCACCTTTGCAACAGCAGTTCTAGATAAAAATGCAGAGTGGATCCCACAGTGACTTAACTGCTCTCTAGGACTCCCCCATACTGTGTTCTCACAAAGCGTGACACAAAACCAACTCCATGTGCCTTTTCCTCCTGTCACTGCACCTTCTGCCGACACCCGCTGGGGAGTGAGGATGGGCTCAGTGTCTTCTGTGTCTGGGAAGGAAGTTGGCTGATGCAGGGAAGTAGCCAGAGCAGGAAGACTTCCTGGGCAGGGTTTAGGCTGCCACTGTATTCTCATTTGGAGGAATTCTGGTTCCAGAAGGAAGCATGACCCTGGGGATGGCCAGCATCCCCAGACTTGGCCTCAGATGCCACTTTCCTGAGCTCATTGAGACCCGCTGGCCTCCCACGTAGGCACAGTTGGCTGAGCAGTGTCTGGAAGATGTCCACATCCAGCCCCGCCCCAAGCTGCTGTGGGATCCCGAGTGACCAGAGGGACTCACAGATGTGACAAGTGGAAGACTAGGAGCTGGGGGAGTGTCCTGGATTATCCCAGTGGCTGCTTGTCACTGCAGGCCCTCTTCCAAGAGGGAGGCGGGAGTCAGGCCTAGAGAGATCAGAAGATGGGGTGCAGGAGTCAGGAGATGTGGTCAGCCCTCAGGACAAGGACAGGTGAAGAAAGGGGCCCAGAGTTCTGGACAGAGCAAGGCCCAGGTGACAACTGGATACAGGCTGTGAAGGGCATGTCCAGCCCCTGATCCCAGGATCGGGAGGTGTGACTCAGGTGCTGTCTCAGCACTGCCTTTGTGGGCACTTGATTCGGCAGCTCCAAGAAACCCAAAGGGGGCACCCAGGGCTCCTCCTCCTCATCATGAACCATGTCCCAGCAGGCGGCGGGGATAGCAGGCAGGTGTCTGCACCCAAGTGTCATCCATAGGCCGTCACCTACAGAACTCAAGCTCGAGATAACCGATTGAAGTTGTTAAGAATGTCAGAATGTCAGACAAGAGCACACAGTGCCCATGTGTGTACTCCCTGGGTCCCCTTCCTTCGCATCGGAGCCCCAGTCCTCAATCCCAGGTCTGGCCCTGAGAGAGTCTGGGAGATGTGGCCAGCAGCCGGGCCTGTAGGTGGTGCACACACACGGTGCCTGCATCTGTGCACGTGTGCACACCTTCACCCTGTGGCTGCCCCGCGGGGACCAGCCAGTCTGAGGACTCTCCTTCCCCGCAGAGGGAGCGAGAGAACGGCTCCAACCTCGCCTTCATGTTTCGCCTGCCATTTGCTGCTGGCCGTGTCTTCAGCATCAGCATGCTGGACACGCTGCTCTACCAGGTCAGTGGGGAGCAGGGGCATTGGGGGTGACACCAGGGCAGGAGCCCCAGACACACTCTTGTGCCCTCAGGTCCCAGTTCTGAGCTTGTGCCCCCACCACTGACCCTCCCTGGAGTCTGGGGAGGCCCTTGGGACAGCAGGGCTTCACCGCCTCCTTGGCCAGGTCAATTTCCAAACCCAGAAAAGGCTTCCCGGCTGCTGCCTGCTGGTCACCCTGTGCTCGAGGACCAGCATGCAGGTGGCTCTCTTGGGCATGTGGCAGGTGGCTGTGGGTCTGAGCCCAGCCACGCCCAGCCTTACCACGTCCTCCCTGCACAGTCCTTTGTGAAGGACTACATGATCAGCATCACCAGGCTGCTGCTGGGCCTGGACACCACCCCAGGCTCTGGCCACCTCTGTGCTGTAAGTGATGGGCCCGGTTGGGCTGGGGGAGTGCAGGGACCCCCAGGGCAGCAGGGTGGCACTGGGCACCACCCCACCCTGCTCAGGGCCTGCTTTGGCTCCAGATGAAGGTCACGGAGGAGGACCTATGGATCCGCACCTATGGCCGCCTCTTCCAGAAGCTCTGCTCCTCCAGTGCGGAAATCCCCATCGGCATCTACAGGACGGAGAGCCATGTCTTCTCCACCTCAGAGGTCCCGGCACCCCTGCCCTGCCCCACCCATCCTCATGGCTGGCTTTGATCTGCCATCAGCTCTCTCGGCTGGGGAGCCCCCAAGGCTGTGGGGGGAGTGGGGACCTGTCTGCTGGCCTAAGTGTGCTGTGCAGACCACAGACAGTGGAGGCAGCACAGGGGCGGGACACGCCCAGGCCCTAACTGCTCCTGGCTTCCTTTGCAGCCACAGGACCCCAGAGCCCAGGTGAGTTCTCCCCTCCTTGAGGTCCCAGCACTTCTGCTTCTCCACCAAAGTCTCCTGTGCAGAATCCCGCCAGCCTTGGGGAGAGCAGCCTCGGTTGTGTTGGCTATTGGTGGTTGCCCTTCATGTATAGGTTGGGGAGCGGGCTTAGACACCAGGTGCAACCCCTCCCAGGCCCAGCTGCCCCTCTCTGGCTCCCCCAGCCATGAATGTCCCCACCACGGTGAGCACCCCACACTGGCCTGTCCTGACCGTCTTGCTCCAGCCTACTAGGACTTTCTGAAGGTGCTTTCCAGGTGGGGACCTGCAGCTCCCCCAGCCCCCCATAGGCCCTGGCATTCTTGGTTCCCCCCAGCTTTGGCTAGCACCCCAAAGATGCACCCTCAAGAGAGGGACCACAGATGAAGAAACTGAGGTACAGAGAGAGGGTGATCCTCCTGGGGCAACCCAGGATGTGCCAGGGTCTAGATGGGCCCCCAGCCACCTGGTAACTTGGGGGCAGGGCTGGGACCCCATCCTGGGGCACAGTGGCCAGGTGGGAGCTGGGCAGAGTGGGGCTCAGGAGGAGCCATGGACCTGGTGCCCTGGGACCAAGGCCGTCCTCCTCCCTGACCTCCACGCACTCCACACAGCCCCCACACCATGCAGCCCATAGCCCTCCCTTCCTGTCCAGTCTCAGATCTCGGTGAACGTGGAGGACTTCGAGGACACACAGGATGTGAGGGGGCCTTGGAGCGCCCCGACAGGCAGTGGCCGAGGCAGCACCCATGGCCAGCAGGAGGGCAGCGAGGATCCCGCAGAGCACCCGCTGCTACGGCGCAAGAGCCTGCAGTGGGCCCGGAGGCTGAGCCGCAGGGGCACCCGGCATGCAGGGAGGGCGGCCGCCCCAGAGTGGACCGGCCAGCGCCGGCTCAGCCTCTGCCGGCGCTCTGAGCGCCAGGAACTGTCTGAGCTCGTCAAGAACCGCATGAAACACCTGGGGCTGCCCACTACTGGCTACGGTGAGGCGCCAGCCACCGGAGATTGGGGAGCGGGGCGGCTCTGATGCGGCAGCCGAGTGGGGAGTCGATGGCCATGGCCTCCAGGGGCCCTGCCGGCCTCCTGACTGTCCATCTGCCCTCTGGCCTCACTCTGCCTGCCCGCTGCCTTGGGGCTGGCTCTGGCACTGCATGGCCTGTCCCAGCCCATCTGTGTATGGGGAGAGGCTGTCTGCTATAGAGGTCACACGATCCCAAATGCCAGCCCCACCGCTCTGTGGCCTCAGTTTCCCCATCTGTAAATAAAAGCCTGGAGTCTGGAGGCAGTGGCTGTGGGTGGGAAGGGCCAGGTCTGGCTCCCTGAAAGCCAAGGACCTCAGTTAGTGATAGAATAGCCAGCTCCAGCCTAACCTGTGACCTCACCACAGCAGAGCCCTGGCAGCAGCAAGAGTGGGGCCTGGTCAGGGGACCAGCTGGGCGAGAGGGCCATGTAGGACACTCCCCTGCCCACTGCAGTTTGGCCACCTTGTTTCTACTGGTCCAGTGTCACCCTGGGTCTCTATCCTCACTGGCAGTTTCACACAGCCCCCTCTCTCTGCCCTGGTTTTGGGTGATGGGCTTGCTGGCAACTTTGACCATAAGTACCCTGGCCAGCTACTCCCCTCCTTCACTCTAGGGATGTTGCCTCCATTGATAAGGCCAGAGGGGCCCAAACTCCATTAGGTTCCATCTCAGGGACTTGGCCGAGACAGTTCTGCCTCTGTTCCGCTGCAGTGCCTGGTTCCCCACCCTGCTTCCAGCTGCAGACCCCCCTCTCCAAGTGGAGTTAGGAGCTCAGGGCTTGCCTGGGGGCCACTGGGGTGGGGCGATCAGCTGGCTGCACATACCTTGGCATGCCAGCCTGGCCTGAGGTGGCCGTGACCCCACGAGGGGTAGGCCTGCCTGCAGGCAACTCAGAGTGCCCGGGATCCCGGCCCAGCCCCGTGGCAGGTGCAGGTCACCGGGCGTGCCCTGGGCTCCAGACTCACCCTGTGCTGCCAGTGTCCTTCCTGGGCAGGTACTGCCACCCTGTCCAGGGGAGGGGACTGACAACCTCAGGCGAGTAACTGGTAGAGGAGGCCCCAGTGCCCCCCCAGCAGCTCTTGCAAAGGAGGAGCCACCTGTGCTCACGGCCACATGGTGTGGCCGCCCCTCGTGCACCCTGCCTGTCGCATGCTGACCTCTCTCTCTTTCTCTGTCTGTGCCGCTCCTCGCCTGTGCTGTAGAGGACGTAGCAAACTTAACAGCCAGTGATGTCATGAATCGGGTAAACCTGGGATATTTGCAAGGTAATTTTGCTCCGGCAATGCGGACTGGCGCACAAGGGGTGTGCCAATCCTGGCCACCAGGCGCCTCGCGCCGCCCTGTCCAGTCAGGCAGGTCGACAGTAGAGGTGAGGGAGAGCCCCAGATGCCAGTGTAGGCCGCTCACAGACTGTCTGGGATGGGACTTTTGCACCTGCCCTGCAGTTGGAGGTTTGCGCCTGTGGCTGCCCAGCTCCGGGGCTTCCCCCATGTACTTCTCTCCTGCTTTGCTGGTTAAGCCTTCCCTGGCAAGTGGGCCACCTGGCTTGCAGCCAGCCCCTCTGGTCAGCCCTGTGAGGTGTCCAAGGACTCTGAACTCACTCAGCTCTCAGGAAGCATACAGATGGATTGTCCCAAGCCAGAGTCCCCACACCCCTGCCTGGGTTTGGCCTGGGCTGAGGCCCGGGCGTGGGTGTGGAGTTTGCTTCTTCTGAGCCTGGAGGGGCAGGCAGGGGTTGACATCATCCCCAGTGGTTATGAGGGAGTTCTTCCTGTTCAGGGAACAAGGCTGGCAGCACCTGTGTCTTATCTGGGTCCTCAGGTGCTGCCAAGCACCTGTCTTCTATAAGATGACCCTGCCCTCCCCAGCCCGGGGCCCTGGTCAGCTCAGAGTCCAGGCAAGGGCTCCCCTTCCTTTCCTGGGGCCTCCCAGCAGCCTTGGGGAGCCCAGTGGGACCTGCTTGGCAGGATGGCCGTGAGCCGTCGGGGCTTGGGATGGTGCAAAGATCAACACAGGACCTTCAGGGCCTGTGCTTTCCTCACCCTGCTCAGGGAAGACCTGACCGCACTGGGTGCCACTGAGGTCAGGGCTGGCAGCTCTTGGCAAGGTGGTTCTACTAAGTACTGTGTGCCCATCGCGGGCGAATGTCAGGGCTCGGGGGGCTCTCTTGCTACTCCATCATGTGTGAATATCAGACAGTGTCTGGGCCAAGGTGTGGAACCATGGGAGTCTGGGGAAGGTGGCCAGGTCCCTGGGGCCATCACCAGGGCCCGTCCAGCGAGCAGAGTCCTATGCAGATGTGGGAGGAGATGCCCCAGCCTGTCTGCCCAGAGCCGGGAACATAAATGCTTCACCACCCTGATGCCATTGCGGGGGAGGTGTCTGTTACCCCACTTCAGAGTGGGGGTCTGAGGACCCAGGAGGGCATTTGGGTGGGAGAGTATAGACACTGAGGGCTTGGGGACCTGGGATCTGGGCAGAGACTGCTGAGTGGAGCTGAAGCCAGCCCACGCCTGCCCTCCCGAGCACTGTGGACATGCAAAGCTAGCCTAGGACAGTCTGCCTTTTTAGCCCATCCTGGGGCAGTTGGGGTCAGTGCCACCTGACTGGCCACAACCTAGTCCCTGGCACTGTAGCAGGGCCTGGCATTTCCTAAAAAGCACAAAGCCAGCCTGGCTTGGCCCAGCCATGAGCCCTGCTAGTGGCAGAAATGTCCCTGACTGGTCTGTCCCAGAGGAGAGCCAGGCACAGGGCCCAGGCTTCAGGGGTACCCAGCAGCTTTCCTGCCAGGCTGCACTGCTCAGCACTCTGCGACACTGTGCATGCTGGGGTGAAACAAGCTGGTGGCCCTTCGTTTTCAGTGTCCCAGCTATGGCTGGGGGTGCAGGGTCCCCAAGAGCCACCCAAATCACCTGCCACTGCAGGCTCCCTCCCCCACCTGCCGTGCTGGCCCAGAGATGACACAGGCAGGTGGAGAGGACAAGCCCTGCACAGCCCCCCAGCATGGGGGGCCAAAAGCGTGGAGAAAGCCTGGCCACGGTTTTGGGAAAGGGACAGAAACAGCTGAGCTGGCAGGGCAGAATGACACCCTCCTGTGAGGGGCAGGTGCTCAAGCCATCCTAGCCCATGTATGTGGACAGCAACAGTGGCACAGGTGACCTGCCTGAGCAGACCTGCTCTGTGTCCGAGGCAGAGCTGTCTCCTGGCCAATGCTGCCCACCAGGCCCGGAGTCTAGCCTATACTTGCCACCTTGGCCCTAGCCAGCGGGCAGGCTCCCCAGTGGCTGTGGCTGGTGCAGAGAAAAGGAAGTGGGAGGAGCCAGGGCAGAGGCCACTCAGGCTCAGCCTGTCAAGAGCCAGTATCAGAAGGGTAAACAGAGGCCAGGAGCCTCTTCCCTTCCAGGAAGGAGCCAACTCTGTTCCAAATTTGGCCAGGCTGCCCTGCCAGGCAAGCAGAGACATCTGTGAAGTAATAGGGGGTTTCTCTGGAGCCACTTGCATCTGGTGAGATGCAGCCTCATCTCAGAGAAGACACAGGGCTGCCCCCATAAGAGTGGTAGGATAGACTCAGTGGGTCCTCCAGGCTGATGGCCACTCAGGACTTGAATCTAAAGCAAAGGGCTGAGCTTGTGGAATGGGGTGGCCTTCCCAGGCCCCAAGGGACAGTTGTATCTGCCAGGCATTGCTGAAGGACAGCCTGAGCAGGCTCTGGAGGGCTGTGGCTAGGTGCTCACGCTAGTTCAGGGGCATGTGGGTGCCTCCTGCTATGTAGGCCTATGTAGGTGTGTACACAAGTGTGCAAGTGTCTGTGGGTGTGTGGTACTGGTGTAAAGGTGTATGAAGATACACATAAGTGTGTGGGAGCATATGAAGTTGCACAGGTGTGTGGGTCAGGTACAGAGCAGGTGTGTGTGGGGTCAGGTACGTGGCAGGTATGTGGGTGCTTATGAAGGCGTGCAGTAGGCTCACAAGGCAAATGTGAGCAGGTGAGCCCAGGGTTGCTACTCTGGGCCACCACATGGCTGCGATGCCACCTAGTGCTAGCTGCTCAGGCTTAGCAGGCTGCTGGGGTGTGGTGGGAGCCAGTGCCTGGCTGACCCTTGGCTGACCCCTGCCCAGTGCAGGGAGTTGTCAGGGTACGTTTGTCTGTCAGGGAAGACCAGCCCTGCAGGGCTGGCCAGGATGAGGAACTCTGGCAGAATGACCCTGAAGCCTGGGAAGGCTGCTCGACCCGCAGTGTGGGAGGGCAGCCTGGGTGCTGATGCCTGGTGTCCTCCGCAGACGAGATGAACGACCACCAGAATACCCTCTCCTATGTCCTCATCAACCCCCCACCTGATACCAGGCTGGAGCCCAACGACATTGTGTGAGTGGCAGCTGCCTGGCATGTTGCGGGGACCCAAGGGAACGTCACAAGGCATCATGTGCTTGGGGAGCCGGGGGGGCGGGGGGGCTGCCCTGGCCTCATCCACAGGGCCCCCCCTCTGCCCACCTGTAGGTATCTCATCCGCTCCGACCCCCTGGCCCATGTGGTCAGTGGCTCCCAGAGCTGGAAGGCCAGCTGCAGCTATAAGCTGTCATCCTGTGACCCCGAGACTCGTGATGAGACGCAGCTCTGAGCCGGCCCTGCAGGAAGCTCCCGTCTCAGCCAGGGGGACCTGGGACCTGGGCCCTGCCCTGAGGCTGCAGGAAGCCTGTGGTAGCAGCTCACAGAACAGACTCGGTCAGCTGGCTCGGCCCACTCGTGAGGCTGCTGAGACCTGACCCCGAAAGGAGACCCTCCTGCAGCAGCACAAGTCAGAGCCACCCAGGGCAGTGCTGGCAGCCAGCAGGAAGCACTTTCTAACCTGTTTCTAACCTGCACAATCCGTTTCTCTACACAGAAGTACCGCAACTCGTGACGGGCCCAGCCAAGGTATAGGGATGGCACAGAGATGGGACGCCCGCATGGCTGGGCCCACCTGTCCCGGGAACTGGCAGCAGGGCCAGGAGGGGGCAGTGCTAAGCACCCGGGGGCTGAGGGCTGGGCCAGGTCCCCGCCTGCGCTGTCTTGAGCTGAAGTTAAAAGTGGAGGAATCCCCCACTGAGCCCACACATCCTGCAGCCCATGGCCTTGTGAAAAGAGACTTTCCTCACCTTCTCCACAGCCTTTCCAGCTGGAGCAGGGGAGCGGGGTGGACAGTGGCAAGCACAGGCCCGAAGAGGGTTTCAGAGTGGGGCGCCTTCCTCAGCACCTGGACGTGAAGCACAACTCAGCCCCTGGGCAACAGCTGTCCCCATAGGCTCTTCCCAGCAAGGAGTTCTGGGCAGTACAGTTGCAGACTTGTGGGCTGCCGCACAGCTCCTCTGCTGCTGCGTTGCTCATTGTCTGCACCATCAGTGCTGGAACCTTCCTTACACAACTCTGTCAGCAGGAGGCTCAGTCCTCTTGCTTGTGGCCTCAAGGACCCAGTTTTAAGAAACACCTATAGTGATCACCCTCTTGACCTCACAGGCAAGCCCCAGTCCTCTTGCCTGTCCCCTTCAAAGAAGCAGGAATCAAATCCCTTGTGGATACTGGGTGACCAGGTCTCAGCTGACAGAGTGTACTGGGGGAGGCCCCAGTGTCTGAGATGGGCCCCCCACAGCCTACGTGTGGCCCCAGTGGGCACAGAAGCCCCAGGCTCAGCCACAGTGGTGCCTATCCCTCATCTAAGGCCAACAGCTGCTACAGATTCTACACTGGGGGTCAGGCTGCCCTGTGGGGCATGTGTGCACCTGTGTTCCTTTCAGGGCATCCCAGGAAGGCAATGGGGAACAGCCAGAGGGCCCAGACACAGCCCCTCTTCACCAAAGCAACTCAAGTAGCTTTACCAAAGCTACTCAAGGGGCTGACCCTGGAGGGTAGGGCCTGCTGGGGGGCCAACTGCCCCCTTCCTATGCCCTGGCCATACAGCCAGCTGTGGCCCCTACTCCTGCCTGTCCTTGACACTCCTCAGAAAGCACCTATGAGCCCCTGAGGAGGAGGAGGGCTGCAGCAGTCAGGAAGGGGCGTAGGAATTCACTGGGTAGGGAGTCTCAAGGCCTTGATAGTGTGATGGGTGGCTACAGTGGCCAGGCCCATCCCAGTCAGGAGAGGGTCTGTCACTGGCTCCTGAGGTCCCAGTAATGAGCACCTCTCTGCTGCTGTCTCCCTGCAGTGGGCAGGGCCCTGCAGTCTCTCCAATGCGAGGTGCTGGGGGACAGCTTAGCCTCTGAGCCCACTTCTGGGGGTGAGTGAAGTCCTCCAGAGAGGGCTGGGGCCTCGCTGCCAGGAAAGGGCTGGCGGTGAAGAATTGAATGCCAAAAGGAATCACTGCCTAGAATGAGCTAAAAATGTTTTTTAATGCTTTGCAGTGGATTTTTTGGGAAAACATACAAATTTACTAAGAAACCTTCTGTTCTCCTTATACCTAATTGATCTAACAGAAAACTTTGCTTAAAGTAATACCAACAATTTACTGGATGATGATGGTGATGGATAAGTGAAGGGTGGTGGGTTATAAAGGGCGGGTGCGCAGGCCAAGGGCCAAGGTGTCGTGACCTGGGAAGCCAAGGAGTATCATGGGAAACGGGGCTGGGTTAGCTTTAGTGCACGCTAAGCTCCGGGGCAACCACTTTAAAGATGTATTTAAAGAAGTATAACTGATACCCTAAGAGAGGAAAAGATACAGAGTCATAAATGCTAAATAAAAACCAGAGAAGGCAGAAAGAGGACAGAAACCGGAACATCGGCAAGAATGGAAAAAAGTTACAAACATGATAGATGCTAACCCAACTAAGCCAATCAGTGATCACATCAAATGTAAATGGTCTAAATGCACCAATTAAAAGACAGTGCCAGTGGGTTTTAAAAGTCTCAAAATTATGAAGAGCCAGCCCAGCCTCAGAAGTGGTCAGCACTGACCATCATACTCCACCTCCCCACCTGCCTCCAGCTTGGATATGAGTCCAAGTTGGACAGTTTTAAAGCGATTCCCAGGTGACACACAGCTTTACGTAGTCTAAGCAAGCACTTCAGCCAGCCAGCTCCCCACAGCTGTGGCTCCCAAAGGGTCTCCAGGGACAGGAAGGCGTCCTGCTCACGGGATAGCAGCTCATGCCAGAGGTGCAAAGGCACGTAGGCCAAGGCTGTCAGGCAGCTGGAGGCCAGGGACAGCGCTTCCAGGACAGCACCCTTCCATAAGCAGGCTGCAGAGGGGTACCGGGCACCAGGGCAGTCACACTGGGTCCCTGATGCCCATGCTCTGCTCACTGCCCACAATTCCCAGCCTGCCCAGCAGGCAGAAGCAAGGAATTGAGATGCCCCCCAGAGGGCTGGCAGGTGCTAGACATGTGGAGAGCAGCACCAAGTCCCAGCCCTACCTCCCCAGCTCTGCACTCTCCCAGGGCAGCAGCTGCCACCAGCCCTTCCTGGCCCCACCCCTGGCCACCTGTACTCTGGAACTCAGGCTGTCTCTGTCTCTCCCCATACGTGCTCTGTCCACCTTCACCCCTCCTTCCTCTGTGGTCCTGGGTGACCTGACACCACTTGAATGTCCCCTTGAGGGGCTTCCTGACCCCTGACCTCCCTGTGCTCCACCTCGGACATACCCTTCTCCCATCACCTCTGATCCTTGGGGCTCCCCTCCCAGGCACCACTGTAGCCCTTCTCGTGCAACCCTAAGCTCCCTGCCCTACAGCGCTTCCCCTGCCTGGATGGGGCCTCCTACTCCCAGGTGACCAGCAGGGAAAACCATGCTGGCCATTAGCACACCACACCCCCTGCCCTCCATGAGTCCAGGTGGCCACCACCGCGTCCCCACTGCCCATGACGGCAAGTCAGCTCCCAGACCCTACCCAAATGCACCAGCGTCAGGGGAGCCGAAGAACACTGCTGACCATGCCCACACTGACCTCTCCCGGACACATAGCCAACTTGAGTCTGTCCCAGCCTTTCTGGTTGTCCTCCATGCAGTCCCCAAATGCAGTGTTTCCTAGGCGCTGTCCCCATCTACCCACACCCCATTAAGGCACCCCACCCAGGTCTGGACACCCCCACCCACCCGCACTTTGCAAGGCTGCCTCGTGGGTACCTCAGCCTCTACGTGTCCACGCCAATCTTGGCGGACAGGTCTGGAGGAAGCAGCCCATGGCAACAAAAGGAGAGAGAGACTGGAGCCAGCCTGAGGCCAGCAGAGCCCCACAGAGGCGCAGATGCAGGGAAGGGAGCACAGGCAGGAAGTGAACTGTGGGTCCCACTGTCAGGGCTTGCCCCACACCAGGAAAGGCACTCATCCCTATCCTGGAGGACCCCTACCCACTGACTGTCCCCAGCTCCAAGCTGCAGGCCCCTTGGGCTCCAGTTCCCTCCCGCCAGCCCCTCCTCTTGCCCCCAGGACTGTCACCTTGTTCTGCTGTTGGGATGGGACCAGGAGGGGGGCAAACAGGAACACAGGAGAACCACCTTGCTGGCTGGCCCCACAACACCCAGGTCTGCTACCACCCTCCACTGTCCCAGCACCTCAGCTCCATGAATGACTAAGGCCCCCAGAGCCTCAGCAGCTGTGAGAGACACTCCTCCCACCTGGGGTAGGAGCCCCACAGCCCCTGCACCCCAGAAGGGAGGGGTGTCCTGTAGCTCTCCACTTCAGGGAAAACTGGGGTCCCTTGGGGAGACCCCCCCACCAGGAGTGAGACCTCCAAAGCAGTCCTGACTTTCTTGGAAGTGCAGATCAGCTTTATGTTATTCCCTATGCCACAGGGGCGGGCCTGCGTTGGCTTTGATCTGAAGGGTTGTTTCCTTGCTTCCCATCCTGGCTGCTTAGAAGTGAAAATAATACACCATATGATAATTGCAAATAGATAAATAGGTTTTGAGTAACAAAGGATGGGGCATAGTACCCATCTTCCCACCCACAGCCTCACCCCCCTGGTAACCACTGTCCTGAGGAGGCCACATTCCCAGACCAGCCCCTCCCGCCTGGAAGCTCCAGGCTGCTTCACCTCCTGGGTGTGGACACAGCCTTGGAGACCTGTTTTCCTCCCAGAACACAGACTGACTGGAGACCAGGGTGTACAATGAATGCAGCAGGGACAAAGGCTGTCGTGCCCAGGGGCAGAGGACAGGTAACCCCAATGACCATGGGCTGCCCACAGCTGACTGTCCTCCAAGCACAAGCCAGCCCTAGGAACACCTTCTGATGCTGTCTCCATACCCACAGGGGTCAGGGAGGGCAGGGTTGCAGGGGAGGGGACCTGTCCCTCCATCCCCTCCCGGGTGGGGTATGCACGCCCAGGCAGCGCTCCCAGTCAACACCCCACCTGGGACACACGACCAGTTGAGAAGGAAGAAATCCAGACAGGAAACTTCCCAAGCCATAAGAAACACAGTCTGGCTGGGCTCCCTTGTCCTTCGGCCTGGGTTGTAAGACAGCAGAACTGGGGAGGCTGGTGGGAGAGCTGCAGGCTGCTGGGGAGTGGCCCCAGGGCCACCTGCCAAGAGCTTCCAGCCGTTTTGGGCACACAGGGCTGTTTCTGTCCATCTCTATCCTGAGCCACAATATTTTAAATAGTGACAGGAAAGACTAGCTAGACCTGGTTCTTGGAACATGCCACACCCTGAGATATCAGCTCAGAGCTACAGCCATAGGGCACACACGC